AATTTGTGTAGGAACTAATTCTATATATGAATGTTTGACAGATCCATCGTATTTAATAAGGAATAATGTCAGTGCAACTATTGCAATTAAATCTGGTGGATGTTTACTTGAGTGGTATCGTTTTTCTATTAAATTGCATCTGGTGACACTATGTATGCTTTTCCTTCAATGCAAGTGCACCTATGCCCCAAGCAAGAAGTTCCAGTAACTAGAAGTGTAGGAGATAGAGCACGGACAAACTGTTTCTTTGATGTAGGGCAAAGGTCAAAATGTAGGTCCGAGTGACCTACTTTTGATATACGACACAGCGCCTCACCAAGGTGAATCCATACCCAAAGAATGAAGTTCCAGTGACTAGTAGTGTAGGAGATGGAGCCAGGACAAGATAGAGGAAGGACGGAAGGAAGGACAGACAGATATGACGCAAAACTACATGTATATTCCCCCCGGTTCCCGGTGGGGGACTAATAATAGTGTGTACAGCACACAATTGCTGTAGCACAAGTACTACACCCAAATCTTTATAGAAAACACATGGGCTCTAGGTTGTACAATACCTTAATTTAAATCCAATTAAAAATAATCTCTTTCTGATATATTACACTAATGTTCCAAATAGAATTGTTTGTGTAACTCAGTATCACTTACTTCAGTAGGCACCAAAGGAGTATATATATACAGATACACAATTGCTGTAGCACAAGTACTACACCCAAATCTTTATAGTAAACACATGGGCTCTAGGTTGTGCGATTCCTAAATTTAAATTCAATTAAAATTAATCTCTTTCTGATTTATTACATTAATGTTACTAATAGAACAAGACAATTCCGCGAATTATAGTCCCCCACCGAATGTGAAATGCACAGATGATAAATTTGTGCACGAACTAATTCTATATATGAATGTTTGACAGACCCATCGTATTCAATAAGGAATAGTGTCAGTGCTACTATTGCAAATAAATCTGGTGGATGTTTACTTGAGTGGTATTGTTTTTCTATTAAATTGCATCTGGTGACACTATGTATGCTTTTCCTTCAATGCAAGTGAACCCATGCCCCAAGCAAGAAGTTCCAGTCTCTAGAAGTGTAGGAGCTCGAGATACAGCCCTGACAAACGTTTTCTTTGATGTAGGTCAATGGTCAAAATGTTGGTCAGAGTGACCTACTTTTGATACATGACACAGCACCTCACCAAGGTGAACCCAGAGCTCGAGATACAGCTCGGACAAACATTTTCTTTGATGAAGGTCAAAGGTCAAAATGTAGGTCAGAGTGCCCTACTTTTGATACATGACACAGCGCCTCACCAAGGTGAACCCATACCCCAAGTATGAAGTTCCAGTGAGGAGATGGAGTCCGGACAAGATAGCAGAAGGACGAACAGATATGACACAAAACTATATTCCCCCCGGCAAGGGACTTATAATAGTGTACAGCACACATTTTATGTAGCACAAGTACTACACCCAAATCTTTATAGTAAACACATGGGCTCTAGGTTGTGCAATACCTAAATTTATATCCAATCCAAAAAAATCTTTTTCTGATTTATTACATTAATGTTCCTTATAGAATTGTTTGTGTATCAATATCACTTCCTTCAGTAGGCACCAAAGGAGTATATATAGATACACAATTGCTGTAGCACAAGTACTACACCCAAATCTTTATAGTAAACACATGGGCTCTAGGTTGAGCAATACCTAAATTTATAACCAATTAACAAAAATCTCTTTCAGAATTATTACATTAATGTTCCTAATAGAACAGTGCTTCCTGGTATTGCAGAAGAAGTTGTTTAAAAGATATTTAAATATTTGAACCCTGTGACCATGAAAGTAGATCAAGGTAATTATATAACTTATTTGGGGAAAATGTATATCACTCTGTACCAGGATCCTACTGGCCAAGTATCATTACTCTGGCCCCCGGGTTTGCCTTAAGATCAGTGGTGAATCCAGAGTTTTATTTAGGCTATAAGTCCCCCACCCACCCTGTGAATTTTCTTTAAAAATCATGTATTTTCCCCCACATGGACCCCCCAGATAGGTCTCTGGATCTGCCACTGTTAACGTCATTTATCTGAGGAAAGTTATAGAACTCTGTCCCAGATACCCAATAGCCAAATATTATTGCTCTAGGCCTCTTGGTAATTCAGAATAAGATATTTCAAGGTTTTTAACACATTCGACCCTTGTGATCTTTAAAGTAGGTCAAGGTTGTTATTTAACACAACTCATGCAAGGTATAAATCATAATACTTCTGTTTGTGTATCAGTATCACTTGCTTCAGTAGCCACCAAAGGAGTATATATACCGATACACAATTGCTGTAGCACAAGTACTACACCCAAATCTTTATAGTAAACACATGGGCTCTAGGTTGTGCTCAAGTTCAACAGGAATCTTCAGTATGTGAGAACAGAACAATTGTATAAATATGCCTAGTCTATTTAAACCAAAGTAGATGGATATAGCATATTCCTAGAAAATAATATTAACCTTGTACATAGCTATAATTCTGCCATGGATGTTGAAAGAGAAAATCCACAGTGAATTTGACTCGATAGTTTTGGGGAAAAATTTGATGTGATGCAAACTTAACTAAACAAGTCTGTTGTATTTTAACTTCAATTTTGAAGCTTAATTGAATGTGACCTTTAGATTAAAACCCATTTTTTTGAGTAGTTATTAAGTTGCCCCATGTTTTACACACAAAAGGCAACATATGTTTTGGTATAGGGCCAAAATGCCCCCATAATAAGCGGGGGGATGATGATCACTGAAAAATACACATTTAACCACAGGAGAATACATCATTCTTCACTGAGGCAGAAAAAATCCCACTAAACTATTCAATCAAATTATGTAAAATCACTTTGTCATTGAATGAGGAATAATAGCTGCCATGAAGCATGACAAAGCTCAAGCAAAAGTTGAATTAATTAAGTAATGGGCTTAATTTATCTTAGAGATGTTAACACATCTTAACAACAGACTCACATTCCGTCTTTGAGTATTGCAGAGTTATCTTCTCTTGTGAGCAGGTATTGATTGTTACGTCATTGGTTTGTGTGAGAAAATGACATCATTTTCTCAAAAATTAATGACGTTACTCTCACAAAACAATGATATAACAATCACTGATTTATAGTTAGGACAGCTACATTACAGGTTATTAATGAGAGTGTCGTACATACCACAAGGTCCTTGTGAGTATTTTTCAAGAGCTTGGGGCTATAGTGACGACGTTTCAACTTTTTATTTAGTATAAACTGGGAAAAGTTTACAGATTATTGAAGATGATGTCACCCAGGCAGGCAATAAGTTATCATGAAAGGCTAACAAGTGACGCCCATCTCCCTCTCCTAAAATACAGCTCTTTGCAATTTTTTTGTGTAGTAATTCTGCCCTATTGAACTTAGAAAAAAAAAGGTGACAAAAAATATATTGATTGCTATTTCTGTACAAATGGAAAAGACCATTATATGTTATGTAAATATTGTGTGTATATTATGCACAGGTACATTTTTTTGGGTGGAAAAGACTATAAGCAAGATTTTTTCGGGGGATAAAATGTCAAGCTGGACTGGTAGCATTGACTATAGGTAGCTATAGGTCACAAGCTACTTATATGGATCATACAAGTAATACACTTCGTATGTACATAGTAAGATGTGTTGACCATGAGGTCAAGTAAGATGTTTTGCGGCTAAAACCCCATATCACCAGGTGTAAATAATTGGTTTTATGTTTCAATAATATTATCAGCCACCATTTATTGTTGTGTACTTTCAGATAAAAGACTGTAAAGATAAGAGGATAAAAAATGAAAGTGGTTGTACAAGTTTTCAAAATAACAACAAGATCTGTGACAATAAATTTAACATTTTATACATCCAATCCCACTGGTCCTAAAGCTCAAAGTTTAAGCCGCAACTCATATATCTTCCTTGACCGAAACACATCTTACTATACTACAAATAGTGTTTGGTTTGGTTTGTTTTATGTCCCATTAACAGCTAGGGTCATTTAAGGATGTGCCAGGTTTAGGTGGTGGAGGAAAGCTGGAGTTCCCGGAGAAAAACCACCGACCTACAGCCAGTAACTGGCGACGGTCCCACGTATGCCTCGATACTGTGACCCAGTGGAGGAGGGCTAGTGGTAGCAGAATGTCAGAAGCCTTATATTTAACCACTTGGCCACTGCGCAGGCCCTACAAGTGTTACTTAAGGTATAAACTAAATAACACTTCACCCAGGTTAGTTATGTTGGGAAAATAGATCACAGTTAAGGCCTAATTATAAGGCTAGTCATTAATTAGGTGACAGTTGATTAATCGACACTTCGAGTACAAGATCTGTTGACACCTGGCTTAGGCAGAGCAGATACTATTGGTAAGAAAACGTTATTGTTTTTTCAACAGCATGTTTAAGAAAAACTTTAATACTATTTATGAAATACACAATTCCACAAAACAAGAATACAAATCAAACTCAGTCATCTAGCAACAGCCAACGGGGACTGCCAATAGCTGAATTGGGGACACTTCAAAACACCAAACACTGATGATTTCAGCATTGTTTTGTTTTATAAGAAAATACTTATATAGATGTATATTTTCCCCGTATGGAACTTTAGTAGACTCTCCAACGTGTTGATCTGGATGAGTCCATTATGGTCCAAAGTGGTGAAAGGATTAATATTCATTTTTGAAATCTCACTTGCATCAATGCCGGTTCAATCGGCATTTACGAACAGTATCACACAAACTTGATTCTTTGTAGTACATATATTCATAAAGGCAGACTTCACAACTTTTCCCATATTGATTTTGCACATTTGAACTGACAATATTGAATATTTCATTCCCGATAGTTTTGGATTGTTCCTGTGTATTGGGTGCACCCTTTCTTGATATCGTTGTTTTCCTCTTAAGAAGTGTGCACTATTCACATGTATGTCTATGGTAGTATGTTTTAAAGTTATACTTACTTTAATCTGTCTTTTCATTGTTATGACAAACAGAATTATAAAGTACATCACAAGTATGGGCCAAAACACTGGGATATTGAAGGCTTCAAAAAATGTGCAAAACATGGCTATAGAGATGGCTTTGGTTGCAGAGTACCTGAAAAAAAGAAGAAAGTCAAGTAAATTCTGATGGTCTTGTTTAGTTTCATAAAATAAACAATAGAATCTTTAATAATGTGACATGCATCTTGCAGTACTGTGATTTCCTTTAATTCCCCACTAATTAAATATAAGGCCTCCTGCATACACCCATCCAGGCCGAAAAAGTTCATAGAACTTGTTTCAAAATTGTTGTAAAGCAATGTTTGATTTCTGAATTTTTAGAAAATACATATTATTATAAAGGGAGAAAACTTGAATACAAACACAATGTTATCTTGTGTACAAGTATCAAATATCCTACACATTGCAATGACTTGGTCCAATTCCGTTTGTTGCCACAAGCAAATGTGTCTTTTATTTACTGCACAAGAACTGCTCCCTCAAATAAAGTTTTTTCAGGTGTTTATTTGTATAAATAGATCACCTATTTCAACAAATAAACTCAGAAAAAAACTTGATAGTGGGCTAGAAGTCACACGAGATCCTGGAAGGATCGTGTCGCCCACCATCAAAGGATCTTTATCAGATCTACAAAAGCATCCTCGATATCCAGGGGATATACGCTTACTTTAGTTCTCTGCACCCCTAAAATATGTCACAGCAAAATTGAAGGCGCACGGCTAGCTATTTGATTGGTGTCAAGTAAAAAAAACCTGACCAATCAAAAGGCTGATACTTATCCTTTGAAGATTGTAGAGAAGCGACGCCCAACTTCAAAGACAATCAGTTTTACCATTACGTGACCGCGAGATTCTTTTGATGTACAGATCAAATTGGCCTTCTCGTCAACTCCAAAAGGCGGTGCACACCGAGCCTTTTGATTTTGCTTGGACACATTCCAGGGGTGCAGAGAGTGAAAGTTAGCATAACCCCTGGATATCGAGGATGCTATAAAAGATTATCTTCTACCTCCTTTGCTCTTCATTTTCCTTACAGATAATTTTACCCAGTCCCATGTTGAACATAAGAATCTTGTAACATTAACTTAAACCTCTAATACAAGATTAGAAGTGCTGTTGATGAGGACTAAGTCAGGGGTATTTTTAACAAGGGAGCAAAGGGAACATGCATATGAAATTTAATAAAGATCCCTACAGTACTTTCTGAGAAAAAGAGTCAACAAAACTCCCAAGTAGGCCATCAGTTTGTTTTCCTGGTCAACCTCAATTGAGAACATGCCAGAGACCATGGGGAAAATTATATATCAAATCTGAGAATGTCTCCTCCAGTATTTTCTGAGAAATAGTGATAACATGTCTTTACTTTCATCATCCAAGATGGCCACCTGTCTGCAATTTTGGTTTTCCAATATCTCAAAAGTAAACCTGCATAGCTATATAGACCAACGGGAAACCTGCATATCAAATTTAAGAAATATTCCTCCAGCACTTTCTGAGAAATAGAGATAAAACCTAATGGTCACAATCAAAGATGGCTGCCAGTCGTCCATTTTCTCAGTCAGTCTCAACAGTAAATATGCAAGCAACCAAATGGAACACATTAAATTTGATAAAGATCCCTCGAAAACTTTTTGAGACACAGAAATGAACAAGTTTAAACTTTCATAATCCAAGATGGCAGGCTGACGGCAATCCCCCCCCCCCCCCCCCAATCAGTCTCAAAAGTACATATGTACAGCTAAAGACCATATCAAATTTTAGAAAGACCCCTCCAGTACTAACCTTAACTGTCAAAATCGAAGTTTGTCACCTTTTGATATTCCAGTCAGTCTCAAAAATAAACATGCACAACAAGAGACTAAGAGAAACCTGCTTATTGTATTTTAGAAAGACCCCTTCAGTACTTTCCAGAAACCAAGATAACAAACCTTAACTGTCTAAATCAAAAATTGCCACCTGTTGGCCTTTTTATTCAATCAATCTCTAAAGGGACCATGCACAACTAGGGACTAAAGGGTAACTACATGACATTCGAGAAAGACCCATCCAAAACTTTCTAAGGAAGAGCCGAGAGATTACAAAACTTAGCTGTCAAAATCAAAGATGGACGCCTTGGCAATTTTCTTTATCTGATCAGTCTCAAAAGTAAATAAGCACAACTTAAGACAAAGAGGAACTTACATATGAAATTTTATGAAGATCCCTTCAGTTCCTTGTGAGAAATAGCCATAACAAGAACTGTTTAAAGAAGGACAAAGGGTGAGTTGAATAGCCCAATATCTTTTGATAGTAGGTTAAAAATGATCTGATGATAATAGATTGGCTAAAAATGGTCTATATCTTTCAAATATACCAACCAAAATTTGAATTCTGGCAATCTGCGCATAAATGGTTTGAATTCTTCATTTGCTCTAGTGGGAAGTGATGGACCATCCTCTGGAAAAAAAACATGGATTGAATCTAACTGAATATGAATGTATGTGAAAATGACATTGAATAAAATGGATAAATAATTGCACACATTGTATTTGCATTTCCTCCTAATATGTATGACCATTTAACCCTTTCACTCCTAGGTAACCAGAGTAAACTCCACCATACATTCATCTGGACGAGTCCATTGTGGTCTACAGTGTTAATCAAAATACTTTTCAATTTTCTTTTTTTTCTCCAGAAGAAGTCAATGGACTGGTTTTAACACATTTGAACCCTGTAACCTTAAATATGGTTCATCCTCAACCATTTGAACATTCTGGATAGCCTTTCATCACAGTATGCTATTGGCCAAATACCATCTAGTAGCTCTAGATCTAGGACTACTGGTTATTCATGATCAGAAAAAGCTGTTCAAAACCAAATGTTGACATCGGAAAGACCGATAAACAGACTGATTCCACCATTAGGATATCATTATAATTATCAATAGACAGTTTGATTAGAAACATTTTTGTATCTTACCTGCATCATCATCAACCAAAGCAGGGTCTACTTGAGGGGTGAGAAAGGCCAGAAACATGTTAAGTAAATAGATCCCTAGTGCATATGTGACTATATACCAGCCCTGTAACAAAGCAAAAGAATATAAATATTTCACATCACCTTAATGCAAGGGTTTTGTGTACCTGGTATAATTCAAATTGTAGCACTAATTTGGGAAGAGTAGAGCAACAAAAAAATGTTAAACAAAGGGGCATAACTCCATCAATATGGGAGGAAGCTCCCATTTAGATACAAATACTTTATTCATATCCCCTCAATGTAAGTGTTATTTTTTACCACGTATCACTTAAATTTGTGCCTTACGTAAGAAGAAGTAGAGTGAACAGATGCATAACACTGCAGTACTCAAACCTTCTAGATGCGAGGTTTCTGCATACAAAAATAATTCAAATCAGTACAGTTTATATATGGAGTAGTACTATTGGGAACAACACTGTGTTCAGAGACAGACTCATCAAGTATGTATACACACACCCCTTCTTTAACTTTAAGGGGAGAAGTTTAATAATGGTACTGTTAAATTTTTTACAGACTGTTGATTGTACACCTTTATTCTTTTCAGGCCATTGTTAAATATGTTTTTTCACTAAAAAAAAATGCACCTGCTTGAACTCATAATTTTTTTTTATGAAAAATCACTGACACTTCAGGTTTTTATAGAAATATGGCAGATCCGAAATAAGAATACAATTTCCTACCTATCTAACCACTGAAAAAAAATTATGAGAAAGGAAACTCAAAATACCTTATTATGTATACAAACACAAGCGTGACTCTTACCTGAAGTAAAAACACTCTTACAGCATAAGCAAGAGACAGTACAATCGTCGAAATCCATCGCACACCAGAATGAGGTGTAGTTCTATCAAGGTTACTCTGATAGATCTGAAAAAACAAACTCAGCAGGAAATAGATAACATTTTTGGTGGGTTGACAATGCAAAGGAAATTTGAAAATTAAACGTAAGTACATGACTGTTTACTTTTACAGATCATAACTGTAAACTTGTGTTGAATAAGTCCAAGTTTATAAACATGTGTTTACTCGGTAAACTTTACTGTTTAATGATCACGAAGAGATTAGATAATAAAATATTTTAATATCAACTTACCGTCCCTATCCTCCTGAAGAAATTGCGAACAGGATTTTGCTGAGGCGGAGAGCCTGGCAATCCGTCCGAGTCGGCCATGTTGCTATTAACTGTAATGAACCTGTGCATGGAGAAAGGGAAAAAAAAGATAATGAAAGAAAAAAATATATTTTAATAAATAATTTAACAAGTCCGATCATTATGACTTGTCTTAACTTACTCAGAACAATATTGGAATTTTGTACATGTCATACTGTAGATCCTATTTACACTTGTTCTGCATTGCCACTATATAACACGTTCACTATACCAATTGCAAGGCCATGGCCAGTCCAGTGTAACGAAACCATAACACAGGCATAGCGATATCTCCACAACTAACTTACTGGATAGCTCTTCCTCTCCGCTCTAGCAAGCGGATAAGCAAAAAAAAACTCACTATGATTCAATAATATTTACCGTTTTATGCAAGACTATTAGAAAATGTCTTGATTTGTACCGTTTTATTCAAAACTATTTGAAAATGTGAAATGAATATATTGTAAGAAACTAAAACTAAAATTTTAGGAAATATAGCTTTATACAGCTATAAATTATACAGTAGGTGGACACAGTGATGTCATTTTCTCATTCGATCTATGTTGATTCACAGATTCACCAGAGGAAAAACTGGATATTCTCTAAGGATTTATGATTTAAACATATTTTTATTTGCATCTATATACAAAAGGGATTGGCCCCAAGTTGTCCTACTTTTTTGAAGTAAATAAACATTTTAGAAGTAAATATACAAATTTTAAAAAGTATATAATCAGGGAAACTAATTGGAAAATGACGTTACGTGAACGACTTTTGTCCCCTTTGTACATGTAGGTCTTAACAGATATAAATTAGCTCAATCGGCAGTGTACTCGACATGTTGGGTTGAAAATCTAAAGGCGACTGGCCTATTACTTGACGTAACATTGCTAGAAAGTAAACCTAAATCATACACAGATTGCATAAGTGGGAATGTGCTTTTTAAGAATAATACTGACTTATAACATCAGTGCATTTATACGAAGTTTTAAACAGGGAGATAAGTAAACATTTTCATTTCAAATAGGATGAAAAGGGAATGTCGAGGTCCGAAATGACTCCTACCAAAACACCGGCAGTGTTTTTCTCGGGTATAATGGCTTTTGAAACAGACCTGTTAGTTCTTCCTGTTTAAACGGTAATCAGAGTTAACAGCCCATCAGTGAGAGAGTATCTAAAACGTCAGAACTAAGTTGTAATAGGACAAACTCATGAGCTGGCCACGTTGCAATAGCCTTCTTACGAATCAATGGATGCTTTGACATATCCGGTAAGGCATGCGCAAATCGATTACCTCAACATCCGGCCCTATCCAACATGTGTGTGCTTTCGTTTTCACCATTTCGTTAGAAGATGACTTGTTATCGATACTTGGTACATTTTGCATACATCGGTAAACCATACAGGTTGGTTAAAACATTTAGAAACAAATTACTTGCATTCATTTAAAAAATGATTTTGACTGATTTTCACGTTTTTTCTAAACTAAAGCGAACCGCTTTAGTTTAGAAAAAACGTGAAAATCAGTTACAAAATATCTGAAATACACATGCTAACATTTGCTGTACATGTAATTTTTTCAGTTGTTGTTGTAGAGACGTCTTAATGTCCTCTTCTCACTTGATACGTTACCAGCAGAATAGCCTGCCAGCAACGGACTCCGGTTGCGCAGGGATTAAAACTACTTACATTGTATCAAGTTTTTACACTATATTTTATTGTGTATACTTGTTTATTATTTTTATGTATGGTTTAAATATATATGTATATACCTTTAATGATACTTTAAGGACTAACTAACATTTTTAGTGGTAAGCTGTTTATTACTTATAACTTGTTTTCATGCAATGTTGGAGATTCCCATGGGATTCATTAATGATATAAAAAGGAAGGGCAGACTTTCCTAGGGTGATTCCACTTGTGTTTAACTCAATAAGTGTTTTTGATAACACAGTTTCCTCATGTAGATTGTTCCAGACCTTGATCACTCGATTACTAAAGACATTCTTACTAGTTTAGCATGAAAGGTTTCTTGATTTTTTTATATAATGATCGACCTCTAGTGATACTCATGAGTGGTGTTAATATATAATAGGCCGAAACATCAGTCCGTAGTCTAACTGGTCAATTCCATTAAAAAAATTGTACAGCTCAACCACATCTGCCCTCTCATGTCTATATTCCAGAGATGATAGACCTAATGTTATCAGGCGTTCATGATGGGGCAGTTTCTGTATTTCTGTTACCCTTTAATAGTGGCACTTCGTTGGACATTTTCGATGGCTATTTTGTCCTTGTTTAGAGACGGTGAACATACTTGAGTAGCCTATTCCAGATGGGGACTGATTAGGGACTTGTACAGGGTTGTAAAAAGACCTATGTTCATAAAAAAGAATAGAGTTTGGTATCCTCCGCAAATAATTTGGTTATGCATGTACAGCTGAGAAGTTCGGGCATGTCACTGATGTAAATCAAGAATAGTATACTGGCCAAGGGCACGTCCCTGGGGAACTCCACTTGTGAGTGAGAGACTTGAATATTTTGCTCCGTTGATTGTGACTCGTTGAGTGATATCTTTTAAGAACTCCTTACTCCATGCCAGAATTTTATATAGTAGCAAGCAGTGCGACACTTTGTCAAAAGCTTTGCTGAAGTCGAGGTATATGATGTACACATTGTTCCCATCATCTGATGCCTGTGTCCAGTCTTCAATGACCTCTAGTAGTTGAGTGGTACATGAGCGGACACTTCTGAAACCGTGTTGCAATTGGTGGGGGGTGTAGAGATGGTTCTTGTTCATGTGTTTTAAGATAGCATCAGTCTCGGACTATATGTTGTAGGATCTTACAGGGAACCAACGTTAAACTGACTTTTCTGTAGTTTCCTGAGTCACTTTTAGAGCCTTTCCTTAATATTGGTGAGACATGAGCCTGTTTCCACGAATCTGGTAGGGCTCCTTCTTGAATGGACCTGTTCAAGATGATGGTCAGAGATTCTTTTAGTGATTCTATTGTTTTTGAAATGAAATAGATTGGATGGATGTTATGTGGGCCAGGGCATTTGTTTGGATTGGGTTTCTTAATTGCTGCTTAAACAAGATTTTCTGTCACTGATAGGTCGGTAAGCATCCTTTCGAACGGTCTTTCCTCAAACTCAGGCAAAACTACTTCATTGTCGCCAACAAATACACTAGCAAAGAAAGTCTTCATAACGTTGGCCGTCTCCAAGTCTGAGGTGGTCATTTCTCCTTTATCATTTTTGACTCTGGTGATGGACTTGGCTGTTTTTGTTTTAGTTTGAACATATTTCCAGAACTTAATGTTGTCTGCCAAAAATATTTATTTTGATCTTCTAATTACATGGACGCTTCTATTTCTCTGTCTTGTATTTTCTGAAGTTTTCTGGGGTTTTACAGTGAAGATATTTTTGCCAAAGTTGACCTTTTTTCTTAATAGAGTCTCTTGAAGCTTTGTCGATGTTGATTTTCCTTTCTGAGTGGGATCGGGAGTTATTCCTCACTGGTACATGCTTCTCTATTTCTTTATTGATAATTACAGAAAATTTCTCCCAAGCCTCCTTGACATCTGAACATCTAGCAAGTTCATGAGAATCCATTTGTTTGAGGTCCTCATTGATTTCCTGGTAGTCACCTCTGTAAAAATTATGTTTCATGGTTGCCCGAATTTGTTCTACTCGTGGAATTTGACTGTAGCAGATAAAGTAAAAAGTCAGTACAAGATGATCGCTTTTCCCAAGGTAGCAGTATACAGTAGAAATGGCCCGACTCTGATAAACAAGGCACATGTCGAGGAAATGTAAACACAGCGGATTTACCCTACACAACATATGTATACATGTATATATATTTGTAAACTGCATTACATTTACAATACATATAAAGTACTGAGAAGTGTATAAACCCTTTTTTTCTATGTATGTCACTTGTGTGAAAACCATGTTTACCACATCAAAAATTACCAAAAAATGCCAAAAATTGCTATTTTTAACCCAAAATTTAACCCCCGCAACTAGTAATTTTTTTCCTAAGCTCTGTCTGAAATTAAAGATTACCTACCTGGTTGCAGAATTATCTGGGTGCTAGTAAAGTTGTAAAACTTGATTTTTTTGCAATTTTGCGTCGTACGTGTGCTGTTGTCAAAATTTTACCTCCTGTAAAGCTAGCTTTTCATGTGTACGCACCCTTTCGGATTATGGCCAAAATTTTATTCTCGAACCAAAAAAAACTTCTTTCTTTTTTACAAATGTGAAGCTCATATAGCCCACTTCATCATGCTTATACCAATTTTAGTACAGTTTTATATTTATATTTGTTTTACATATCATTATACAGGGGTTAGCCATTTAGCAAAAATATCACCCATGGCCACAACCCTCTACTGTATACTGCTACCCAAGTCCATTATAATATTTCAAAAGTTCAACCATTCCCTCTTCATTAGAATGGATTAGATCCAATGTTGATTGTAGATTGTGTTTATCCTTCTCTGTATCTAGTAGCTTCTGTGACATGTTGGTACAATAAGTTGTCCCTAATACACTCTAAAAAGAGTGTTGCCGGATGTGACTCAAAAAACGCTGATTGTGTAATATGGTTCTAGTTTATCTATAGTTAAAGTCCCCTAAGATTAGTATATGTTAGACTGGTTGGTGACATAGGTTTTCGAAGACTTGGTGAAGGTGCACGTGCATGTGGTTGTTATTTTCTGTCGAGCTGTTTGGGCTTCTGTAGATACAGTAGATATAGCAAGTTTGTCCCTATCCTTTAGGTTTAGTGTAGTTCTTCAAAGGGTCCTGTTTGCTGTAGGGAGTCGCAATCAATAGTGGCGGTTACATTTATGATCACACTTCTTTTCCTATGTTGTCCCATAATTTGATTGTAGTTTTCTGTCGTCTACTGGGGTTTGGTACATTTTTGGTAGAATTTCTGTTAGACATATCACATCGGGACAGCTTTAATTTTCTAGAGTTCAAGTTCCAATTTCTTTGTTTTGGTTAGACTGTGTCTACATTAGAATAGTACTGCTACGGGTCACAAAATAATTGCATACATGTTTAAGTGCGCTGTAACCTATATCAGTACAGCATGTGTATTTTCTCAATGATGTTTTTAAAGTCTTCAATTTGCTTGGTACAGCCTGTAAAAATATCAAGACATACCAGTCCCCATCTGAGCCAGTCACACGATTTTGTTAAGCAGACCATGAGGGAATGTTGCATATAAAATGAAATATTTTTTTTAACCCACCATCATCAGATGGCAGGCTATTCAAATCATCCTGCGTCCGTGGTTCGTCTGTCGTCCCTCATTAAACAACTCTTGTTATCGCTATTTCTCATTAAGTACTGGAGAAATCTTTCTCAAGTAACCTTGTATACATCTATGGTGGTACTAGATGCAGCCCAGCTCCATCATCAGGTGGGTTCCTTCTTCATTGGTCTTATCGGTGCTTCCACGACAGCCTCCGGAAGGTGCGTCGGCTGAGGTGATCAGTCACAACCTGGAAATGGTCAGCCTTATCATCATGTTTTGCAGGTGGTCTAGCTCCAGTGAACACAGATAACACTATCCATAACATTAACCTGCAATGTTAAGTAAATTCATTGCCACTGCTACACACATCACTAACTTGCCCTCTTCCACTCTCTGTCTCGAACCTTCCAAAGCCACAGGGACAATGTTTCTGCTTTCTTACCTGTTTTTCCACATACCCGTTTTCTCTCCTGACCCGTTACACCAAGAGTAACCACTGCTCTCTATAACGTCGAGTGCCCCACAAACCCTCTGCAGCCGGTCTGCTCCATGGGCATGCAGCTCTTCTTGTGACACCTGCTGACCAAATATTCATATTTAGCCAATTCTTCTTTTCATGAACTGACCCTCAATCCTTTTGTCCCATGGTACAAATTGTACATTCAGCTCACGGAGAATCGCTTCCTGCTTCGTTTTCTGTGACCATATGGCAATGTCAGAATGCTGAATTGTGACAGCGATCTCTGCCAGAAACACGATCTCCCTTTCAGATCTACCGTCATCTGCCAGTCTGCTGCTGTACTAAACACCCCTCTAGCTTGATCTACACTTTTTTGTGCTGTCCTTCCTTGATGAAACTCAGGAATCTTACACTGGATGTTGTTGTTCTCTTTCATTTGCTTTCTCTTTCAAGAGAATCTGCGACGATTGCCAGGACATTAATTTGTCATATATGCCTCTAAGTGTATCGACTGTCTCCCAAAGCCACTGGACAAGATGAAAGCACATGTTCGAGATCACTGATTCTTCCAAAAAGTTTGCATGTTGGTTCATCAGTATAAGTCCCCATGTCCGCAGATTCGTTGGGCTGGGTAAGACATCATACACAGCACTCAACAGAAACCTTATCCTCGCTGTTTCCATGGACCAGATGTCTTGTTAGCAATCTTGAAGTTTGAGAGATTAAGTTTGTTAGTGTTATTTCTGAGTGAGGAACAGGAGGGATGTCTCAAATTTGAAGGTTCCCCATGGTTCCTAGTTATGCATATCACATTTTGAGACTGATTGGAAAACCAAGAAGGGCTGATAAGCAGCCATCTTGAATTAAGATAGTTAAAGTTTGTTAGTGGAAAATAGAGGAAAATACTGTAAGCACTATTTTTCAGAAAGTACAGGAGGGATCTTTCTCAATTTTCACATGAAGGTTTATTCCAATGGTCCCTACTTTAATATTGATTTTTGGGACTGTTAGGAAAAAACAGGGCAGCCATCTCGAATTTGGCAGTTCAATTTTGTTCATAATCAAGTGCTATTTTATATGTATGTTCCCTTTGGTCCCCTTCTTAAAAATACCCCTGACCCTTATGAGAATTCATCTATCATTGACAGCACTTTTAATCGTATAGTTTTTATCACTTTGCATATATAGTTATGCAATTCTTATACAACAACATTTATCATAGTGGCAAATGACATTACAAGGTTTAAGTTACAAAATTAGGGAGAGGGCTTAATTGCAGGCACCCACCCTGTTCCCAGGACATTAACAAAAGTGGGGAGGGGGCTTATTTGCGAGAGGGGGCTTATTTGCGGTAAAATACGGTAATATACAAGATTCCTGTTTAGGATCTCAGACATGGGACTGGGTAATACCTAAGGAAAATGAAGGGCAAATTAAAGACGGTAAAAGATCATCTTTTGTAGATCTGATAAAGATACTTCAGTGGTGGGCACCTGCAAGATCCCTCGAGGATCTTTTGCTATTTTATCATTAATATGTTTTGATGTTAATTATGGCTTTCCTTTCTGTCATGTAGGGGATTGCAGATTCAGGGAAATTGTGGTCCCGTCTCGGATAAAACAGTTCAGAATGTTTTACAGGTTAGTAAAGCCGTAGTCAGATGGGCATCGGTTTAAAATCGATAATCGGTCATCGGTTTGTTATCTGAAGTAGTAAACCGATCGATGATCGATTGCATAATCAGTTTATTATGTTTTTTGGACTAAATACCCCAAAAAAATGAGAACACTACTATTACATCAATAGACAGAGTTGTTCATTATACATGTGGTTTCATTCTTTTATAATGAATGGATATCAAGCTACTTTTATGCATTATTATTAATCATATAGTATAAATGATAACAATATATATGACTTTTAAAGCATACTTTACATGGAAGACGTTTAAATACTTTGATTTCAATGATGAACCGATTATATCAATTATGGAATTTGTAATCCATAATCGGAATCGGAAAGGGTAAACAGATCAATTTTCGATTATAATCGATCACCAGCCCATCACTAAGTAAAGGATAGTTAATACAATTGTTAAAGTAAACTCCAATTTAAGTTTAATAAATAAACATGCAGCATCTAGAAAGTCAATAGGATTGAGCTGCAGTTAATTTCAAGAAATGGTTGAGTTTGAGAACTTAAGCTTCTTGCACATATATCATACAATAATGACTACCTCATACCTCTATATATCATACAATAATGACTACCTCGTACCTCTATATATCATACAATAATGACTACCTCGTACCTCTATATATCATTACCAGAATAATGACTCCCTCATACCTCTATATATCATAAACAGAATAATGACTACCTCGTACCTCTATATATCACGAACAGAATAATGACTACCTCGTACCTCTATATACCATACAATAATAACTACCTGGTACCTCTATATATCATAAACAGAATAATGACTGCCTCGTACCTCTATATATCATTACCAGAATCATGACTACCTCGTACCTCTATATATCATTTCCAGAATAATGACTACCTCGTACCTCTATGTATCATAATCAGAATAATGACTACCAGGTACCTATATATTTATCATAAACAGAATAATGACTACCAACTGGTACCTATATATATATATATATATCATAAACAGAATAATGACTACCTTGTACCTCTATATATCATAAACAGAATAATGACTACCTCGTACCTCTATATATCATAAACAGAATAATGACTACCTCGTATCTCTATATATCATGAACAGAATAATGACTACCTCGTACCTCTATATATCATACAATAATAACTACCTGGTACCTCTATATATCATACAATAATGACTACCTCGTACCTCTATAAAACATGGACAGAATAATGACTACCAGGTATCTATATATTTATCATAAACAGAAGAATGGCTACCAACTGGTACCTATATATATATATATATATATCATAAACAGAACAATGACCATCTGGTACCTCTATATATCACACAATAATGACTACCTCGTACCTCTATATATCATAAACAGAATAATGACTACCTCGTACCTCTATGTATCATAATCAGAATAATGACTACCAGGTACCTATATATTTATCATAAACAGAATAATGACTACCAACTGGTACCTATATATATATATATATATCATAAACAGAATAATGACCATCTGGTACCTCTAAATATCACAAGTAGGGATACTTATGTGTGATTTCTTGTTGTAATGTATAATGTTTCTTCCTTTAACAGAAAAACTTGAGAACTGTATTGCAGCAACCATCTCTGAAGACATCTATTGGTAGCCGCACAGACAAAGGCGTGAATGCTCTGTCTTGCTGTCTCCACTTCAATCTACCTTTGGGGTACACGTTTTATATCATTTCAACCAATTAGCGGCTATATATAGTGAGTCAAATTCTTCGGGAGAACTTTACTTCAATATGCAGAATACTAATTCTATAGTCAAATTTCATGGAACTTTCTGAAAGCCAAGATCACATGTAAACAAGATGATAATTGACTTGCATCAATCAGGGCTGTCTGTGCTGTAGTAAATATGGTATGCTTGGATGTACAACAAGAAGACACTAGCTAGTCAGCATTATTTTTAGGGAAAAAAGAGGAACAACATGATAATCTGCTAAAGTTGTTTTAATGATTTTATACGTTAGATTTGCTGATGAACTATAATTCCTAATGTTATGATATAATGTAATCAACAAGTTTGTTGTGTCAACATTGATATTGTTTACTTACCTCATTCAACCCTTGAAATTTCATAATGAACTATTCCAACCTTTGAACTGGAAGAGTTCAAATGTGTCCTCAGGGGTGAATGAGTTATAAGTCATTCAAATTGTCTGGTTGTTTATATATGTTCACTTCAAGGTAAAATGAAATAGTTTATGTTTATGCCTTATTACAGGTCCACCTTGGAAAATGGAAAAATTGTCCAGCCTCCTAATTTGGAAAAGCTTGCCAAGAACGTGAACGTCAGACTTCAACTTTATCAGGAATCAGTTCGGTGAGACTGCTACAAGTACTCTGTTTGCACACCAAGGTTGATTTAACTTCATTGGTAAATTAAAGTTGAATGAATAGAAATGTAAATACAGTAAAACCCCACTTCCTCAAACTCGGTTTACTTGACTACCCCTCATTCGTTAAACAGTTTGTATGGCCCTGACCGAGTGCGTTACATATTCTTTGTAAAGTAACTCCGGATTAGTCGAAACCATTATTCCTCGAATACCCTGTATTCCTCGAACAAAAATTTGGCCCCGCCTCTTCATGGTCATTAATCACTGGTAAAACACTGGCTTATAATAATCGTGGTAACTAAGGAGCTCGTTCCTCTTTTGACCAAGTATATGCTCGATCGTCAGTTAGTCCTAAGTATGGACACTGATCTTCCATATTATCAATTGTAACTTTTATGAAATGTAAAATGTATCTATTCAACTCATTTTGCATAGAAACAATTGGTATGAATCACATCTTGCAATGCATTTTGCTGAATTGTATTTGTTCCAGATTTGAAAACAATTTGAATGTTAAAACCTCAGGACCTATACACTTGCAATCCTAAACCTTATCAGGGACTGAGGGGCAGGGCCACAAGGGGTCACAAATGAGGGGCAGAGCCATAAGGGGTAACAAATCAGCACCGGCTAAGGCAGCTCCTGTTGATTCCTCAAAACTTTCATTGATTGATATATTGTTTTGTTTATGAATTGTACAATAGCACTTTAGAGAAGCATATTCCAGTTACAATATATGTAGATAGGGTTTATATTAAATGTTGGAATATATATATATATTTAATTTTTTTTTGAAATGTTTGCTCGCCTAACGAAGTCGTCATACGCATGGATATCCAGAGAAAGTGTTTTTCTCCTACCCACACAACTCCAACAACCCAGGTGGACTATAAATTGGTCTTGGGTGGATGTTGTGGTATCTGTGCTGTAGCATTCAAGTGATGTGGCACTATAAATTATGCCGTTGGAAGCACAGTCTTGCTACAAACAGAACAAATTATAACTCCAGCACACATGCAGGCATACACACATATGGAGATATTAGCCAGGTGGCATATGACTAGTAGTTAGATAAGGCAGCTCCTGCGAATTGTTTTGATTAATGTATGTGCTAAATGTAGAGTGGCTTATGTTAACTAGATAGAGCGCTATATCAAATGCTGTATATTATTATCTGTTATGTATCTTTGATCTTGCACAGGGTGTTGAAAATCCAGCAAGTTCCCAGTACATTCCACTGCCGTTTTCAGGCACTGTGCAGACATTATGTATACCGTCTGGCAATTGGACGTAAAGATAATAATGATTCCTACAACCAGGCGTTTGTGGAAAGTGCAGAAATGCAATGGGTCCGGTAAGTCAGTATACCCTGAAGGCACATTTGAATTCTTCCAATTCAAAGGTTGGAATAGTTTATTATGAAATTTCAGGGGTGAATGAGTTAAATAACTCGATTTTAATAGTGGTCAAAATATAATTTTTATTTTACTATTAAAATGCAGATTTTAAAACCGGTATGTAATTGAGACAGATTTGCTTGTATTTTATATGTTTGTAATAATAATAATTTTTTAATGTCTCTTATTCTAATATTGCATCAAACCCTGATAGTGTTAAACAACAAAGCTATTATTTTGTCCCCCCAAACAGGTGTTGGTCTGACTTCAATATATAAACCCCTAAAATTCTCAATTTGTATTTGTTATAATCCTCTCATTGTTTTGTTTTGTAGGGATTCCATGTTTGACACAGGCAAATTTATTAAGGCTGCCGAGATGTTCTCTGGAAAGAACCAGTTCTTTTTATATAAAAAATCTGATAAAAAAATTAGCCGTGTCGGTCCAACAGAGCGATCAGTTATAGTGCACATACGCCGTGGGAACTCACTGTCTAATGAATACTGTGGAGGAAGTGCAGAGTTCTGGGATGTTCACATAGCAAGCTGTGCTTTCATGAGAAAACAGGTAATTTTATTAGAAAAGCTGGTTCTGTCATGGTACGCACTATAATAAAAATGTGGTATATATATATATATATATGTATAAATTGGGGGCCGCGGTGACCAAGTGGTAAAGGCCTTTGACATTCTGCTTTCACTAGCCCTCCACCACTGGGTCGTGGGTTCGAGACCTACATTGGGCAGTCGCTGGCAGGTACTGGCCGTAGGTCAGTGTTTTTTCTCCGGTAACTGCGGCTTTCCTCCACCACCAAAATCTGGCACGTCTTGAAATGACCATGCATATATAGCTGTTAAAAGGACATAAAACACGAACAAACCAAATATATAGTATATAGATTATGTATTCAGATTCAGATATATGTTCATCATCTAATCACTTATGTAATTATAATATAAGCTTTATTTATTTGACAACAATTATGAAACACATAATTTCGTCTTATATTAACTACTCTTGTTGGCTTGTGGGGGTCTTAATGCGGACGGAAACCAGAATATCCGGAAAAAAACTCCTGTGGTCAGCCAGGAGATCCCATATATTGTCATGTCTGATTGAGGAATCGAACCCAGCGGCTTTTGAGAGGCAAGTGCGTTTTCCACTGCACCACCTGAACACCTTTATGTTAGCTCATTGTCATCAGATGGTGAGCTGTTCAAATAGACCTTCACCCCTTATTCATTGTCCATCATCCTTTCGTCAACTGTCTGTCATCCTTCATTAAACTATCCTTGTCAATGGGATTTCTACAAATTTTAGAACTCTTACATATTTTATATGTAGGTTCCCCTAGATCTGTAGTTGTGCAATTTTTGTTTCATTTTTGGTTTGATTAGAGGAGCAAAATCATGCTGCCACAGGCAATCTTAGATTTTAAAAGCTTACTTTCTTACCTGGAGTTCTCAATAAGTACTCTACAGATTTAAAGGCCACATGGGGTTACAGTTCCTAAAACCTTTAAACAATGTATTCAGCATATCTAAGAGGCATGGAGGTTGGTATTTGGCCTGTAGCAAAACTGGGTTGAAGAGCTATCATGTTTGTTCAATAAATGACCTTGAACAGCTTTCAGTAGGTCAAAGGGGTCAAATGTCATAAAAACGTCAAGTGACTTCTGCTAAATAACCAATTAATAAGCCTTAGTATACCTATATGGCTTAAAGTTATTTAGCTCAATCTAAGTGAAATCATTGCTCTTTGATTGGTTGGTTTAGTGTGAATAACATAAAATCGTATTTGTCATAGTTAAAAGAAATTCAATTTTATTTGCACTGTAAAATTGCATGAAATTGAATTAAATTGCATATTGGGGGCCAAGTGGTTAAGGTATCAGCATTCTTCTACCACTAGCCCTCCACCACTGGGTTGTGGGTTCGAGACCTACGTGGGGCAGTCGCCAGGTACTGGTCGCAGGTCGGTGATATTTCTCCGGGAACTCCAGTTTTCCTCCACCACCAAAACCTGGCACATCCTTAAATGACCATAGCTGTTAGTTAATAAATAGATAAATGAATAAATATACAACATTTGATATAGCGCCCTATCTAGCTAAAATAAGCCACTCTATAGCGCTTTACAGTACATAGATATACAATGTTATACAGTCAATACAATTAACATATATATTAATCAATACAATTTTTGAGGAATTCGCAGGAGCTGCCTTATCAGGCGCTAACTACTAGTCCTTTGCCACCTGGCTAATATCTCCCTATGTGTGTATGCCTGTGTGTGTGCTGGAGATGTATTGTGTTCTGTTTGTAGTGGGACCGTGCTTCCAAACGGTATCATTTATAGTGCCACATCAATTGAATGCTACAGCAAAGATACCGCTACACCCACCTCAGACCATTTTATACTACACCTGGGTTGTTGGAGTTGTGTGGGCAGGAGAAAAAACTTTCTCTAATATTCCATGCATACGGCGACTTCGGGGATCGAACCCCGGCCGCCTGCTTGGAAGGCCGGAGTGTTAACCACTCGACCAATCCGCCCATGATAGGAGCATAATAGGACGTAAAACACAAATAAACCAAATAAATTGCATAATTTTAATATGATGAAATCAGAATTGTGAAACTTAACAATTAGCAGCTACTGATGTTACCATAATGTTTCATTTGATACTGGATGATCCTTGATGTTATAGGTGCGGGAAATGGTAGGTGATATGATTAATGTTGGAAAAGGAACTAGAAGTCTGGAAGACTTGACAGACAGGCTGAATGGCAAGGGGGAAAGGGACCCAACGTGTTCAGCAGGTGCATGTGCACTCTTTCTGAAGTCAATTGTGTACAATGCAAAAGGTATTATGTGTTAATGATAATTTATGATATATGGAAATCGAACGATATTGTATATACATGGATGGCCCTTCTTCTTGGTCCTATCATAGCATTAACTCATTCACCCTTGAAATTTCATAATGAACTATGCCAACCTTTGAATTGGATGAGTTCAAATGTGTCTTAAGGGGTGAATGAGTTAAAAGCTTTTGTTAGCTAACCACTCTGAATTCTTAATATTGAAATTTGTTCTGTTTAACTGCGTTTCATTTTAAATCTCATCAACTGTCTTACCTGTGAACCTTCTAAAGATCGGTTTCCGCTGGGTTGTTGTTTTCTGGTAATATTTGATTACTGATGTATGCCTTAAGCATTATAGTTGTTTTTCAACAACGTTCTGAACTGTTTGTTCAAAATACGTCCAGCAAAGGAAATCAACATACAGAGAGTATGAGCAGCTTGTTTGCAAAATTACAAAGACATAAATGATTTGACAATAAAATTCTAATTTGAATACTCATATTGAAGTAGCTGCCTTATAATTTGAATTATAAGCATACATTTAATAACAGTTTAGTTCACCGGGCACAATTGATCCCCTATTTCTCCCACCCTTCACAGGTGTGTCTCCCATTTTAGCCGGGAAAGATCAGCTTGTCACCCCCTAGGGGAGATAGCCTTGTGCCGATTAGCACGTGTTTGATTGTGACGTCATTAAAATGCATCCTCGGTAATTGTGACGTCATCAAAAGTGAATGACGATATGCATACCCCAAATGTGTTTTTGTTTACAAACATGGCAGACTGTCGGTGGAGCTGTGACTGAAATAATAGGATGAGAGAAAAATAATCATCCCCTACCTTGAGGGTGTAACAGAGAAATCTCCAACCCTCGGGTTACACAACAAAAAAACATCACCCCTCGGGTTGGAGATTTCTCTGTCACACCCCCAAGGTGGGGGGTAAGATTCTATTAATCAATACCTGAAGCCCTGTGAGTAGTAACTGGACATCATCTATCCTCAAGATCTAGTTAACAACTGCAGAATATATATTAACAGTATATATGTTTTTCTTTTGCCAGTCCTTGATTTCAAAGAGGATCAAACAGACCAGCTATTGAAAGAATCACGTGTTTTTGAGGGCCCACATTTCAAGAAGCATCAGACTGGTACTGAATATAGAACAATGTCAAAACAAACAATAAATTCAGATGAATGCAAGGACAGTAAAGGGAGCAAGCAATACCGAGATAAACACGATGATATTTTATATCAGGACGACGTTCAGCGAAATGATCATCAGCAAACTTCAAGAACTTATGACAGTGTGTTTATTAAATTGGTAAGGTCAGTGATGAAAATGTTTGAAAACAAGTCTCAATAAACTTTCAAGGAAGTATTTGTAGAGTTGACTTTGTTGTGTATATCACCAGCAATAATTACTTCTAATTAGGTTTTACACAGTAAAAACAATTAAAAAAAATGCTCAAGACTTCTTTTTGTCACCAGTTACATGTACCTCTGTCTACATGTATTATTGTTGATGTCATGGAAACTTGTCGCAATCTTGGTAAGGTCATGAAGTGAGAACCCTACATTTTTTATTAGCTCACCTGCCCAAAGGAAAAATGAGATTATGCTGTGGCGCGGCATCCGTTCACAAACTTTTCCTTCAAAACTACTTCTAGTCCTGAACAACTTACCAGGTAGTGGATTTTAACTAAAGTTCTTCCGTAGTATCCTCAGCCAAAGGGGACTCAATTTTGTATAAACGGAGGGAGTAGTTCCCTGGGCGCAGAACCCTAATAGGGGAAATTGAGTTAAATTTTTAAGATTCTTCTTCTGTACAAATGGAGGGATTTTTACCAATTTTTGTCTAGAACATCTGTTGGCAAAGGGAATTCAATTTTGTATAATTTTGGATATTAAGAGATGAACTCAATCATGATATTAATATTGACCCTTGGGTCTGGCCCCATCCCTAGGGACTTGCGTTTTGGGCCAGAACTTTGAAATTGTTGAGATCCCCATCCCATAAACATTTGTAAATTTGATAGGCATAAAGAGATAAACACAGTCATATTTAATAATTGACCATGGGTCTGATTCCACCCCTAGGGACTTAATTTCTGACTAATAACTTTGAAACGGTTTAGATTTCTACCCCATAACCATATACATTTGATAGGCTTAGAGAGATAAAAACAGTCATGATAATATAACTGTCAGATGGGTCTGCCCCACCCCCTTGGTACTTCATTCCTGAGCCATAACTTTTAAACGGTTGGCATCCCCACCCTATAACCATATATATCATTGCTGGGCATCACAAGACAAGCAAAATCATGATATTGACTCTTGGGTCTGGCCCCACCCCTGGGGACTTATTTATTGGGCCATAACTTTGAAATGGTTGAGATTCCCATCCCATAACCATCTGTAAATTTGATAGGCATGAAGAAGTAAACACAGACAAACATAATAATGATATTAGTTTTGACAATTGTGGGGCTCAAGGGACTTTATTGCTGGGCCATAACTTTGAGATGGTTGAGGTCCAGAACCCATAGCCATTTAGCCATATGCATATCCATATGAATGCCAGTGCAGACTTAATATCTGCATATATTTCATTTTGATCTTCAAGCAACTTGATCAGAATACAAGACTGCATGCAATTAGAAAACACTCTTGATATACATCAATTACTATATATATATTATACCAGTTAATAGTGCCAACAACAACCTCACTTGAAAGGACAAGGTCAAACACAGAAATATTAAGTTCTTCTGACATACAAGCTATATATATAGACGGTATGTGGAAAACCTGTATGTGTCTATAACATTTTTAAGTAAAATGTATTGATGCATCATAAAAAGAAAATTATTAGTCAATTATTTGACACTGGGTTATAATGACATCACACAAACCTGCACACCATTTTGAATGGGTTTCTCAATGCAAAAATTCTTTATGCTTGAAATGCCTTTATAGATACCCTTTGTCCAAAGATAAATGCAAATATATCGGAAGGACAGAAAATGTAGTACCACTCAAGGTCCATTTCAAAGCAAATAATACCACTTAAGAACAGTATTACTCTGAGTATTACATAAGGCCTGCTTGTGGGTCCGTCCGTCAACACTTTCGTTTCCGAAGATTATCTCTGGACTCCAAAAGGCCAAAATTTCTAAAACTTCACATAGTGATACACTGTGATCTGTCGATGTGCAAAGGGCCGAGAGTTTCACAATTGTATCAGGTCAAAGTCAAGGTTGATGTTACTAAAAATAGAAAAGTGGGACTATACTGTCAAAAATACATTGTATGACCCTCAAAAGGACAGTTTTTAGTACACAGTTTGTTATGACATTATGAAGCAACTTACAACTTACGAAAGAACAAGGTCAAAAGGTAAGGCAAATTTTCTAAATCTTAACTGGTAAACATTTAAGCAATGAATGTTATAGCACATGTTGCTATACATGGTCCTATAACACACATTGCTATTGATGACAAACCGAATAAAGCCCTACCGGCAATAGAAATATGCTAAAATATATTTATATTAACATTTTGATAGAGCAATTATGTTTTATTTAGTTATTTCGAGAAGTTTTTAAACAGCAAATCAAGTGTTGACAACAATAAAATTGATAACGTCACAATAGAGTTTGATGACGTTACAATAGCAAATGTTGTCATAGTCTCATAACAGCCTTTGCTTTCGCAGTGCATCGCAGTGGACGGATGCAGAGCAAATGTAAATATTTTGTTATAACATTATGAAGCAAAGTTGGTCAGATATAATTGGGGGTCTGCTTAATAAATTAGTTATCATTCTGTCCATACGTCTGTATTTCCTCTGTCCTTCTGTTTGAATTTGAGTTGTTTTTCTTTATACAATAATGCAATAACTTTTCAGGTTTCAAAGCTTTAATATCACAGGCGGCATAAATAAATATGGCTACATCTTTTGTTCTATTAACACAATTTTGTTCATACTTGTTGTGACATTTTGGCAAATGATACAGATCGCCATTGTGAATAATGCCATGACTCTTTTCCCAAAGTCCAAGATGGTCAATGTAGCTTTTGTTGGTTCTTAATTAGGGAATATATAATCAGTCAAACAGCGGGGCCCTTGCTGACCTGCCAGTGTTGTAGTGTCTTTTCATTTTTTGTGTGTATTTGGTTGGAAGCATCCTTAAGTGGTGATGATAACAAAATGCGCAAATAGAGGAGGCTACCGCTCTGGAGAGTGGTGAGAAAGGAGCGGAAGACAATACAGATATGTATATATAATCTATGTAACAGTATGTCTGATTTTATTTTATTAAAAACATGACAAGGAAATAAAACATTCTTTATCTTAGGCTACTTGTGTTTCTTCAGATATATATATATCTCTTATGTGGAGTCTTTTCCTAGAAATATCAGCTAGAGGTACCACATCTGAGTTCCGAGTTTATACAACAAACAACAATGGATGCCAGATTACCTTCACTGTTGTGTTATTGCTCTATTATTAGTAAGAACGACACTTTGTTTTCTCTCATAAATGTTTCACTCGGGCTTGGCCTTTGTAAGTTATGTTTCCCTACCACATGGCCACTAAATGTATAATATGGGGGAGCGGTTATAATGCGGTTGGGTTGCATGTCCATGCATCTATCTGTCCATCTGTCTGTAGACAAAATGAATATGAATAAGAACATGCATTGGAAGTACCTTCTTTTAAAATGCTGCACCCATTTTAATCATACTTGATACACATAATACGTAAATTGATGGGATATGAATAAAGTGTGCAAACTGGAAATACCTCCACCTTTAAGGAAGTTATGCCCCTTAAAAGGTATTGTTTGCACTATCAAAGAACACATACTTCACCAATTTCAATGATTCATGGTACATATAATGCTAACATTGAGAGGACATTAGTATTCAAGAATCTCAAACAGAGAACTTCAGCTCCAAAATTTATGGAGTTATATCCCTTTGTTTCAGCTACTCATTCTAAAATAATGTTCTGGTTTAATTGATTCTAATACACAGAACCCTTACAACAAAATATAACAATTGAAGTAAACCTCCCTTATTTTTGGCGTTAGTCCTGTTTGTTTCAAATTGTTCTTGAAACAAAATTCCCACAGTTCTTGGAGCAAGCTTCTGTCTTGGCAACAATTTTGGTTTGGAAACTGTTGAGATCCCTACTCAATAACCATGAAAAGACAGTCATGATACATGGGGACTAAGTGTTTGGATCAAATCATGGAACGGTTGAGATCTCATCCCTTTGACCATATAATGATGTGCTCACTTGGCATAAAAGGACGAATACACTCATGTTTTCATGACAGCCTGCAGGTCATGCTGATCTCTTGGATTCAGTCCCCTGGTCATTACATGTGCATGGAAATGGTAGAGACAGCCAACCATATATATCATTGCTGGTCATGAAGATGTACTTAGCACAGGTTTATAACATTGAAATAAATGTATCTGAGATTACAACCAAACATGTGTGCTTGCATGGCCCAAAGAAACAAACACAATCATGGATGCACCTTTGGGTCTAGCCCCATTATTAGAGATTTATTCTTTTAATGAAAACATTTTTTCAGGATTGCTTAAATATAAAAGCTATCTGTTATTGTTCAGAAAACCATATAGAAAGGCATTAAAGGAAATAGGTTATTTCAGATAAATAATGATAATAATTCGCGGTTATTTTATTCCGCTTTATCACAACCTAGCTAGTTCGTAGGCCGTCTCAAAGCGTTTCACAAATTAATATTCGTGGTTATAGGGCCTTTGCAGCCAGCCAATATCTTTCTCAACTCCCTGGGGAGCATACAGCCGGTGCTGCCATCTCCGCGCTCACAGCTAGTATTCTACAATTCTAGCACTGCCCAACCACATACTCATTTACAGCAGAGTAGACTGGAACAAGCGGAGTAAAGTAACTTGCTCAAATATACAACACAGTGCCGTTCCGTGACTCGAACCCGCAACCCTTCGGTCACGAGCCCGGCGTATCACTAGACTACCGTGCCTTCTAACTCTGAATGATCACTGTAATGTAAGCGGCCAAAAACGCAAAAAGCTGAGCAATCCTTAATTCTTTAAACACCCTCTTCTGTTTAAGCTAAAACTGGCCAGACAAAATTTGATGATCACTGTGATATGTCGACAAAGGAACACTTGGTTGGTTTTTCATAGGAGCATAAAGCTAAAATTCTCAAAAAGTCAGAGATTTTCCCCACAAGACGTATGTTGTCTATGGCAAGCCAACTTAATATTTATTCAATGAGCAATGTCGATCCTGTATTTCATCGAATTATATAAGATACCTTATATAGCATATGAGATATCTTATATACTATATAAGATATCTCATATAGTGTATGAGATATCTTATATAGTATATGAGATATCTTATATAATATATAAGATATCTTATATACTATATGAGATATCTT